GCTAATATATATATATATATATATATATATATATATATATATATATATATATATATATATATATAGAAATAAATAAATAAATATTAAATTGTTATTCGTTTTTATTTGAATTATTTGGTTCTTATTTTATAAATTAAAACTAATCCGAAATTCAAAATATTAATTCGGTTTCATTGAAAATCTATCCAAAATTCCGATTATTCGAACCAAATAATCCAATTGAAATCGACCAATTAAACAAGATATTTAACAAGATGTTTCTAATAGAACGTTCTAAATTAATTAATTAATTAATTAATGTAATAATAAACAGATCTATATATTATGTAATTTTTATTTTTATTATCGTAATTACCTAAATATTTTATGTTAATATGACACGTGGGAACTAATTATAAAAACAAACACTGCAAGATCTAACGAACAAAGGAAAAATAAATACAACGGCACTAAAGGTGGGATTCCTCTTCACTGTCTGTCTCAGAAGGAGATTCTGAGGAGATTCTCAAAGGAGATTTTCTATAAATTATTTTTTATATCCGAAATATTAAAATAAGTATTCGAGATGAAGTAAAAAACATATTTTTCAAAATAAATAAGGTTTTCTATATCTTTAGAAAATTTATAGTAAATACTAAAGTTTAATAAATTTAAACTTGAGTAAATACTATATCAATTAGGGTTGTATTCATACATGATTTAAAAGGTAGACTAACTACTAGCTATATTTTTTCGTTTATATAAAAACACATACATAAGTATTTAAAAATAGAAATATTGATTATCGCATGATCAATGGTAATCCAAATTCAAAACATCGAAACGTTTATTTATTTTTAAAGTTGCAACTTTTTTTTTTGTTTGTCTTCAGCATCGATATAAATTGTGTTAATTTATGTGAATACGAATTATATAAACTTTGTATAACGGTTAATTTAGGACCGAGTTAAGGTATTAATAAAAAGAATCACTAATCACCAACACATGCAGAGATTTATCAGTTTTGTACGTAAATTGTCATTAGTAAATGTTAAATGAATGAGAAAAAAGATAAGATAAAAAATCAACAAGTTTCAAGAACAAGAAACATTTACCAAACTTCCAACGAGCTTGAACAAGTCCGATTTCAGAGTTATGATGAAGAAATGGAATTGTTTTCCAAAGAAAGTCAGATTCAGGCTGAAAATCAGCATCAAAGATTACCACATACTCGCATTCATTAGCATAACCATGTTTTAGACCTTCTTTAAGTGCACCTGCTTTGTAACCCTTTCGATTGTCTCTCACTTGGTAATGTATATTTGTACCTTTGCCTGCCCATTTATGACACTCCACTTCTACCATGTCCTAATCACATATATGAAATGATACGAAAAATAATTAAGTTGAACAAAAACCAATATCTAATTATGATTTTATATTAACAACAAACGTGTGTTACACTTGTTAATAATAAACTTATAACTAATTTATATTTTTATTAAACATAACAAATAACATGGTACTCATTCAAACTATAAACACTTGTTATAATAACCTGTTAGACATAATTAAGACACCATTTTATTTTTGTTATTATTAATGTCACGTTTTCAAAAACCACTAGTGAGACATTAATTATTTTTAATTTTATTTTGTTACGGCTAACTACAGGACCACTAAGATGGTCCTTGAAAATGAAATGGAAAATTAGATTTATATTTATTTTGCATGTAGCTCTTTAAAACACGTAATTATTTTTTTTTTATCTTCTTGTGTTTTGCTCTATTTCATATTAAAAAAAAAAAAAAAAAAAAAAAAAAAAAAAAAAAGGAAAATCAGATCTATTTTGCATGTGCCTCTTTAAAACACGTAATTTTATTTTTTATTTTTTGTGTTCCGATCTACTTCATACTACAATTAACAAAAAAAAAAGGAAAATAAGATTTATTTTGCATGTTATGAAAAATGGGTTTTAATTAAATTATCAACCTTGATCACTGGATCTGTTGAATCATCAAGAACTTGAATTACAATACGATCAGAAGGCCATGAAAGCCCACATGCAGCTCCAATTGAAAGCTGATAAACCTGTGTACAAATTAAACAAAAATCAATAAAAAACCAAAATTCAAAAAAAAAAAAAAAAATTTCAAAACAAAAACAGAGCAATGGTGGAAACATACCTCTCTTTCATTGAACATTGGAATTTGAATAAGAACAAGAGGATAAACAGAGTTCCCTGATTCAACATCATTTTTAAATTCTTCCCATTTGTAACGTTTTTCTGTCTTTCTACCAAACAAATAATTGAATCCAACCACCGAAGACATATAAACCTTCTCTATGAACAACATTATTGACATTGCCAAAGAAACATACAACAATAATGTCAACAATGGCACCAAAACTGGCACTCTAAATTGGCCCCATATCTCGATAATATGCGCAATAATGTCATCTCCACTACCTGTAAGCGATTCAAGTACAATTTTGGTTGCCGAAAGCCTCCCCATTTTCTTAGTTTTTTTTTGTATATAGTGCAAACAGAGTATGCTCTGTTTTTACTGTTTTTGGTTTGGGTTTTAATGGTAAAAATAGACAAGCATGTGGACTTTAAACCACACAATTTTGATTTTAGAACAGAAAGTACAGTTATAATTAAGGGATTTTGATGATTTGGTAAAGAAAGATGAATGGAAACTGTAGCTTTCTGCTTCACTAATGAGAACAAAAGAGAACTCAACTACCAACAATGGAAATGTGAGAGAGGAATGCTGAGAAAGAGAGGAATACATCATGTGCTTATAAAGGTAGAAGTCTTTTGTTTTTAAGGCAAATTACAGAATATAATAATTTATTTTGGTTTTTTATGTGTTATTGTAGGTAATATGTTTTAGTTTATATTTTTTTTAATATATTGTAGGTAATATGTGTTATTGTAGGTATTTTAACTAACTACTGTGTAGATATAATAATCATTGTGGACCAATCATTTTAAAAATATATAAAAATATATATAAAGTTAATTTTGTAATCTTAGCTATTAATTATTTATGGTAATTGTTAAATGAATTAATACCCGATCATATCGTTACAAAACTGCGTCGACGAATCTCGCCTCATCTCCAAACTTTCTTGAGGTGGTGGAATATCAATAATCTCAAAATCATCAGCCATCCTCTTTGTCTCCTCCCCTATTTGATGAATACTCCTCTTCCCTTCACTGATGTTGTGTCGCTTTGTTTAAGACTCATCAATCATGATGCGTCCAACCGATTCCTACTCCACTACCACTGTCATCTCCATTTCGTTACCTTCTGCTGCGATTACGGTTCAAAAAGTCTCATAGTTTTTGGCTTCTTGTGATCGCCATTTTGTAAGGTACACATTTGTTTTTCCATTTTTTTGTTCATATGCTACTAGATACATATTTGTTTGCCCCTAATGCATGTAGTTTACTTTTTTCTTTCCTTATTATATGTGCATCCAAAAGGAGAACCTAAAATTAATTTTGTGTGTTTTGAATGTAATCAAATAGGAAGCCCAATAATTTTTTTTTATTTTCTTCCATACTACTTTTGATTCATTCACATGAAAAAGGTATTCCTTTTTTTTATTTGTGGGGTGTTTCACTGACATGGATTGGTTCAGAAATCACAATCAAATAAAGGAAAGAAGAAGAAAAAGACTCCTCCTAGGAGTCAAGAACCCATCCTCTATAAGTGTAAGGGTGTAAGTATGTTGTTCGTTTTGTTTTGTTTTGATTATATTTTTCCACTAGATAAGATTTTTGTTTCTGTCGTTTGTATGAAAATCTGTTATACATGAGCTGTTAGTCTTATATTACATTTACTTGGAGTTTGTCAATGTGAATTTTTGTTAAATTAAGTCATTCATATAAAATGATTGAATTGGTAAAGATGTATGTCTCTATAATGCACCATTTGGTTAAAACTAAATGAGCGTTTTGTTTTATTAGGTTAAGTTCATTAAATTAAAAAAAAAACAATATATTCGATTTATTCATAAGTCTTTCTAATTATGTAGTTTTTGTAATATATGTTATATAACACCACTTTGATATTTATCTTTGATCATAAAGGTGAGTCTCGCCGGTCAAATGAAACTTTTGCACAAAAAGAGACATAACATTCACCTAATGATGAATGTTTTAGAGGTTAGCAATGCTTATTAATATTATTCAAGTTATTTTTTGAAGTTGTATATGCTCTTTTCTATTGTTGTAATTATGGTTTATTTTTTTTAGATAACTCTAAAAAGAAAGGATATAAACCGAGTTTACCCATTGCTAACATATGTGCAAAACGACATATTTTTCACAACTTATTATTTTTGTTGTATTCACGAATGTTTAATAGGTTAGCAATGTTTATTACTATCATATATGTTTTACACATAATTCTCTTATTATTCTTGCAGGTCATGAACAGAAGATAAAAGCTTGTTATTCTCACGACAATCATTCTAACAGAATTTGATTTCATGGCAGTTATTCTGTCAGAATGTATAAAACGATTATTAGCTTCTTATAAATTGGATTAGTGTTTTTGTTAGATTTTGATGGTTTTTTTTTAACCATTCTCAGTTTTAATCTTTAATAGTAAATGTAATTCTTAACCATTATTAGACATTTTTTCAGATCTAATTATTGTTTATAGTCTTACTCTTTAAAATTAATGTAATTAGTGATTTTTTAAGAATAAAATATATTTCATAAAAAATATGTTTTCTTTAAAAAATATTATTCTTGATAACATTGTAAAAGAATAACATTCTGACAGAACATTCACACAAAACATCATCTAACAAAATAACATTCTGACAGAATAAAATAAATTATACTTCTAAATTACATTACAATTGAAATTGAATTAATTTTAAAAAAAATCAGATTTTATAAATCAAGAGTGTTAATTTCCCCTAAAATTTAAAATTTTCCTTTTTCAAATTAATCTTAATTGAATAAAATAAATTAGATGGTATTTTTTCAATTATCTTTAATTCATTAATATTTATTAATCACTTTCTTAAAATAACTAAAATGATTGGTCCTCAATCAATCCTACATCCACACAATTAACAGTTAGAATAAAATAATATTATTGATTTAACTATTTATCGTATGGATGTAGGATTGATTGTGGACCAATTATTTTAGTTATCTAAAATTTTGTGTCCTTAAGAGGTCTTTT